ATTTATTTTTTAAAAAGGTGGTACTTATATTCCATGAAACTCAATACTATTATTTTGATATTTCTAAGTATGTTATTATTTTGATATTTGTCACTTAAAACTTTTAGAAGTGACACTATAAGTGAAGAAATAAAAATAAATGAGAATAGCTTAATAAACTAGAATATAGAAATTAAAAATCATTAAGAAAAATATAACTGCTGTATAAATTCATTTATTACCATCTATTTGGTCATCCTACCATGTACCAAATGTAATGCTTTTAGGTAATTGGTTTAGATTTCTTTAGAAGACTGTATTTACTCCCCTTCCTACCACTTTGTTGTCCTTTTTCCCTCCCTTTCTCCCTCAGCAACTGCCTCTTTATCTTCTTCCCTTCTTCTCTCCCATCCTTTCTCTCTTGGTTGTTTATTTTTACTTTCTTCTCTCATCCTGTTGACTTTTCATTCATTTTTCTCAGGGAGAATTGGACAAAGGATTTTCCTATATTTCACTTTTCAATGAAGCATTTTGCTAATCTCATTAAAATATGAGATTTTACATATTCTTTTCTTTTGGAGAGATAAGGCAATTTTCAGATTAAATACTACAAGACTAAACTTTAAGCAACAGATACAAAAACAAAACTCCAAACTTTTAATATGCCTAAATATAATTCATGTGGTTTAACCAGTATATTCTTAGAAAGAACCCCAGGATATTTCATGAGGAGTACTTAGAGTGTAGAAATATAAAATTACCATGATAACATGAAAGTTAAATGAATATTATAAATTGGAAAATTTATTGTTTGACAAATATATTAGAATTTTTCTCTAGAATGTTCCATAGAAAAATAAGTGAATCTAGACAGCTACTCTAAATCAACTACACTTTGATATAAACTTAATAAAACTCAGAAACTTGAAGTATATTTATGAACATGATTTGCTTTTACTCCACATATAATTTCTCTCTTTTTCTACATGACAGAGTTCTCTTATTTTCAGAATTTTGGGGAATAATGAGCTTACCAAAATAATTCAGATGGGGGCTGGGGATTTAGCTCAGTGGCAAAGCGCCTGCCTGGCAAGCGTAAGGTCGTGAGTTCGGTTCCCAGTACCGGAGAAAAACCAAAAAAAACAACAACAACAACAACAACAACAACAAAAAAAAACCAAAATAATTCAGATGGCTTAACATTTTCACCTGTATTCTATTTAAAGTAAATGGCTAAAATATACATTCCTATAGTCAAGATATGGTAGGACATGGTCAGTGTGCTTAAATACACTATTGGAATGTTATGAAAGCTTCTTCAACTTCAACTTGGCATGTTTTTGTCTGTGTGTGAGTTGCAACACCCATGAGGGAGGAGGGCTGTTGGCCACATTCTGTCTCCAGTTACTACAGTGCTGTTGACTGGGGTCCAAGGTTGTACTGCCCTTCTGTGGCATCTGGCCAAGAGTGGATGCAATGAGCTTGGTCTTCTCTTCTTTGAGGTTTTTGATGACTGACCCAAGAGAGAATACCACAACACTGAAGCTCTAGACAAATTCTTCTATTTTCTGAAGACAAATTTTTTTCCTATTAAAATGTTGCCTATAATGGTCATCCAGGGATGGAGCTCACCAAGCATCAAAGGAAGAAAGAGAAAAGTGACAATGGGATTGTTTGGTTCTGTCTTCTTATGCAGAGAACTATCTAGGCTAGACAGAAAAATGATTCTGAAAATTATGTATAAAATATATAATTAGCAATTATGAATCCAAGCATGCAACTAAATTACGATTGTAAATGACAGGCAGTATGGGGCAGCTTTGCTTAGGATGAATGGAATTCTTACTTTGAAGGTTTAATCTTCCCAACCAAAAGAATTGTTTGCAACAAATAAAAGAATTTCATACTAGGAAGCACAGGAAAGGGCCCATACTGAGGTTATTAAAGTTACTACAATGCTAGTAATATCAAAAAAATTATTAAATTGATGTACCTTTATGTTAGGAATGCATCCAAGACTATTTTTCTTCAGGTCTATGATTAATAAGTATAAGGAGAAATTTGTTAGAAAATGGTATAGTGGAAATATTTGTAGAAGAAAATACAACTACTCCTGCTATAATAATAATGGCACATAATGAAACAGTACTTCTTGTCTTTGTAGTGTGTAAATTCCCACCTGAGTGGGACAGTGAATGAATTCCACAAAGCAAAAGAAAAATATAAATTCTTACACAAGTAAAATTTGCTGAATCATCACAGTATTGCAAATCGGACTCTGCAAAATGTAGGACTGGGGACATTCACTGAGTAACGTAGGTGAATGTGCCTTCCTGAGATGTCCTGTGTTCTCCGTGTAATTTCGTGAAGTCACTCTGGAATCACTGAGTATCTTGGCTTATGGTTAGTATAATTATTAAAGGAGCATGATATCGTAAGTGGAAGTAGACCACTGCCTTCAACTTCCTTAATGTCAGGAAAATATTTTTGAAGTCCTAATAATTGATATTTCATCATTCTGACTCATCTTCCAAACAGGTGATTATTGATTAACACACACACACACACACACACACACACACACACACACACGGGTTTCTCATATAAGAGACAGAGGAAATAAACTGTGAATCTGAGGGTAAATGTCTGTGGAAGAGAAAAATGAAAAGTGCTTAGGTGAACTAACCTAGTCACAGTTCCTCTTTATTTCTTCCCTTTATTTCTGTTCCCTACCCTTTCCCTCTTATTCTCATATGCTATTGTGTTACTTTTCCTCTGTCTTGATTACTCCCTTTCTGCAAAGCTACATGTCGCTTTGAGGTTTTCCTTATTAGCAGTTAGAGTCTACTACATACCAGAGATATGAAGTACCTGCTCCTTTTAAATGGGAATGAGAAAAGATATCAAGTGATATCCTAGTGAGTAGTGGCTTCATTATATATTATCTCAGATCTTTGGGTCAAATAGAGCTAAGTTTTACTCACAAGGGAGACACAGATAAGAATGGACCCATCCAGGGCATCAAAATGTTTCTTACAACCAGGGTGGAAACCTAGTCCTGAGATACAGTGGACAGAGGCAGGCTCCGGATGATGCCTGAGGTAATTACTCCTGCATAGCATATATGCCTGTGTTCTGAACACTTACGGTACCTCAGTTTATGAACTTGATTCATTCCATGATTCTGGTTGAGAACCGAATTGGTCATGAGCCAAGTCAAATTTTCCCATAAGGTGTAGTGTAAATAAGGATAGTCCGTTCCGATGCCTACAAACGTGGTTGTGAACTAATTTTGGTTGGAAACCAAATCAAATTTTCCCATAAGGTTCAATGAGAAGTAGGGTAATCCATCCTGAACCATATGTATCTTTTTAACCACAAAAATGAAACAAAGAACAGTACCGTATGAGGAGAGAAAACAGTAACCTTGCTTGAGGCAGCTTCTGGCATGGAGGGCAGGAAGGGGGTGGGGAGGAGTTTATGCTTTGGAGGGAGAGATCCCCTTCTTGAGGACATCCACGAGATCTTCAGATGTTTCCTCTCTGCTTTGTCTCTTAGTTGAGGAAAGGAAAAACAAATGAAAGGAAACATATGAAAGGAAAAACAAATATCACACGGTAATCTTTATTTTACAGTAAATGTAATATTTGACTTTTTATTCAAAAACTAGAAAAAGCTTCAGTGCGCCAAACTCACTAACAAAGCCATTAATTTTTTTCTTATAATTGCATATTTTATTTATTCTGCCTGTTGGAATTATGAAAATAAAATATTATGTAATAACATGAAATGTTATTTCAAAACTATCCTCCATAACAACATTTCATAAAAATAACAAAAAATAATTAAACTTCAAATAAAAAAAGACTCTGTCTTTATAGTTTGAACCAAAGTAATAAGGAAATTGCACATGACAGGCAGTATAATCTGATAGTGCACTGTAATCTTCTCAGCCAGAGCAGACCTGGGTTAACTATTTGAAATTATTTTAAGCAACATGGTAATGGATTCTTTATGTTGCTAATGAAATCTACTTAAACTTTTAGTGCTCTCATATAATTATTTTAAAAATTATAAATAACACTAATTTAACCTGGAAAAGCTTTTCTTGCTAAATATCTAGGAAATTATGGGTTACACAAGTTTTAAAAAATTTTCTACTAAATAAGGTATAAGTGCTCATCTTTTTTTGTAGCTATGTGTACAAGTACATAGACTTTATTCTATAAATGTATGTATGCTGTGTATTTATGTAAAATAATAAGCTAATATGAACAAGTATATTAACTTCACCAGTGAAGTTATGTAAATTTGAATAAAATGAATTTGTTAGGTCTGGTAAGCAGTACCAGGCATCACCCAGGCGAGGGCAGCACAGCCTAAGCTGGGACAAACTACTTAGGGGGAAAAAAGACATCTCCAGTGCGATTCAGCCTTAACCTAAGGGCTGATTGTCACCGCCATCAAACGAGGCAGGGGTATATAATGGTATTTAAAGTGCTTTTTACACATTTTTCTAAAGTCCTTGCAAAATTTCAGTGAGGTCAACTTAATTTACAAAAAAAGAGGTCAAATCACGGAAATCAAGATTTTTCTGGCAATTGAAAAGTATAATTTTCTCCCTTTCTACTAACGGCATATTTTCCATTTTACTGTATTTGCACATAAAATGATGGGGACAAAAGTGTGAGAGAAACTTCTGCAGATTTTTCTCAACTACATTGTCATTATTTACAGAGAATGCCTATCCAGAAAGAAACTCACCTACCAGGAAAGCGATTTCCAGAGCAAAGGAAGTAAAAATCACTATTTAAAAAGGAAAAAAAAAAATGGATATATGGCGAAGCATTCCAAGATGTCATTAGCTTTTGATTTCTAAGGGAAATCAAAAAGGAAAACTTCCATCCCGGGCATTTACAGCTAGCTCTCTCTATTCCTGTTCCGGGTCAGTAAACGATCGCAGATCCCAGTCAGAAGACAGATACGTTTTCTGGTCTCACCCCTCTCCTAAACTGTGCAATGAACGGGCCAGAGATTGCCAAGAAAGATTACAGGGAGTGTGCCGAGCTCCGGAGTCATTTCTGCTCCGATGACTGTTATGTTCTGGCAAACAATGATGTCACTTAGGTAAACAGTCCTTCTGTTCAGATCTCCCACGGTAACTATAACACCACTGTGTATTTTAGGCGGTGTAAAGATCAGAATAACGTAAAATAATGTTAATGTATTCAAATTAATTTTTCTATGCAGGAATCATCTGTGTACAAATGTTTTTCTCATGAAACCCCAAGTTTGTAGAGTCATTGGTAAGTCATTTAAGAGAAAATGAGAAGCCTCTCTCTCCATTTCTAATGTAGATAGTAGGTCACTGTCTTCTTAAAATTTTGTATTTTACTATTTCTGTAATGGCATTTAAAAATTAGTACTATGAAATTTGCATATCTTAGAAGCAGATATTGGAAGGCAGTCATTTTTTATTTGTTAAATATCGAAATGGCAATGATTTTTTTTTGTTTGTTTTTTAAATAATGCTGGTTTATTTATTTATTTTTTTGGTTGGTTGGTTTTTGTCTTTTTGAGACAGGGTCTCACCATGCAGTTCAGGCTGGCCTTGAGCTTACTTTGTAGCCCAGGCTGGTCTTGAACTCTCAACAGTCCTCCTGCCTTAGCCTCCCGAGTGCTGAGATTACAGGCATGTACCACCATGCCCAGCCAAAACGGCAGTGATTTTGATTTTGTGTTTTGTTTTTAGTAATTCACTTCTAGTATTATTACAAATGATCCAAAACTTTTGGTCTGTATTATTTTTCTTCCTTTGGTATTATTTCTTAATTTAAATATATTTACATTTTATTTGACTTTGGAGTTATTGAGCGGGAGATTTAGTAAATGATATATGATGAAATGAAGGGCTCTGCATTCCCCATAAAACTGTTTTATATCATTTAATTGTGTCAGGGCACATTAATAAGATTATTAATATATTTGATGTCTTTGTTTCCATTTTTGTATGTTTTATCCTATAACTTCACATTAAAATTCCATGTTTTTATCTTCTTTCCATCTTCTTTCCCTTCCTCCCTCCCTCTTTTCTTTCTCCTCTCACTCTTTCTTTCTTTCTTTCACTCATTGTTCTTAAATACTCGAAGAAAATCTTTAAATATTTAGCTTTTTCAACTTAGTCTTTATTATTTCAATTCATCTTACCCAGGTAATTTGTACATTCCATGGCTTTACATTTCAATTTATACATCTGTATTATTCAAAGGTTATTTTCAACATCATCAGAGATATGTGATTCTACATGTGAAATACATCCACAAGAAACAATCTTACATTTATATGTAGCTTTTTATTTACCTATCCCTACTTTACATAGCATAAAAATTTAGCGTGATTTTTAATTTCATTTTTTCCTCCTTTTCAAGTGCTGAGTTTTCTTGGAAAACTTGATTCCTGGGCACAGGCTATAATTAAGTTTCTCCTAGTTGCACATATGATTCTTTTCCTTTGTCTTCAAATTATATTAACTTTCTTGTTCATATTAGTGACTGTTACACACAGAAGAATGTTTTAATCAGTGAGGGGTTTCAAAGCTATTTAGTGAAGAATTTGATAATTTTTCTTGTCTTCTTCTTAAGCTTTTCCCATCCTACGCCTATCTTCCTGGCTATGCTAAATACAGTCAGTACCTAACTTACAAACAACTACTATACTATTCCAGGAGCATCTTTGTAAGTTGGATTCATTTATAAGTTCAAGAAAGTGAATCTTATATGCCTTTGACACACATAAATAATGTAAAGAAAAAAGCACAAAAATATTGTAAATAAATTAGTTTTACTTTTACAGTTACCTTAAAATGGTCATATAGTACAACTTCAAATAAATGACTTACTTTTACAGTTACCTTAAAATAGTGGTACAGGGCTGTGCAGCTATAAATAAACTTTCCTTTCACAGTTACCTTGAAACGCTGGTACCATACAAGTACAACTGCCTTAAAGGGATGGCATAGCATGAATTCACAGGAGAGCTGCTGACTAGAGGAGGGAGGGCAGGTGGGAGATGATAGAGTGATGTCTACCATCTTTCCACCTCAGTCCAATCTCTTAATTATTTTGTTTTTTTTCCATGATTTTTGCTTTGCGCTTCCTGGCAGTCCTCCCCTCATCACCTCTGTTTTTCCTCTGGCTTCTGGACATCCAAGGTGCTGACTGAGTGCTGTACATTGTACACTGTCACACTGCACAGTAAGCACTTGAACGTTTGCAACTCAAATGTCTGTAAGTCACTTACTGTAATGTACTGTATATTTTACTTTTTCCATTTTCCACACTTCTGAAAATATATACCTACATGTACTGTGATATGTGTGTTTATGTACACAATCATGTACTCGCATGTTTAGTTGATGTTTCTATCCATATGCTTTATTAAAGTGACAATATACTATACAAATTAATATTGAGAAAACAGAAGAAGCACTGAGTGTGTGAGATCAGTGTGCCTAGGCTGGTTGACAGGAACTGTGTAAATTTGCTTCCCAAATTCTTGGCTGTGAAATCAGAGGTGGCTTAAGAGGGTTGAGAACAACAGAGAAAGGATGTAGTAATCTAGGAGTGAGGAAAAGTGCGTGTAACCAGGATGTGATAGTGTGTCAACACCATGATCATGGTCATAAACACAAATGGTGACATTCTGCATCACTGCGTGGATTTCTTCATCTGTCTTTCCAAGATAGATTAACTGCTTCAATTTCTTTTTTGGTTTACTTTAACTTTGTGTTCAAACTAAAAGCTCAGCATTTTCTTCTTCTACACTTTCAACAATATAAATCCTTCCAGCCTCTAAATATTTGTATTTACTTTTGCATTTTATACAAATAACTTTATCTTAGTTGTAGTTCTTGTAAGTTTTCTAATTATCCTTTACTTAGTATTTAAGATCATAAACTCTCTCTTTAAGGGATTAAGTTTCTCATCTCCCTGTTTATGAAATGGTTCTAATAATGCTATCTATTGAAGAAGGTTATTTTCAAAATAAATGAAACGACAAGGTCAGTTCAATGTTTCTTATATACAAATTGATCAATGTGAATTTTTATTGTTATAGGTATGATTTTAATGGCCTCATCCTGGAGACAATATTTGGTAAGCATCTGAGGTTAGGTCATCCTAATCACATGCTATGCCCTCCTTCAGCTTTGTGTCTTGCAGTGCTGACCACGTGCTTGAGAAATCCCAGCTCTTGTCAAAATCAGCATCCCACTTAGTTCTTACCCAAGTGTAGCTAAAGAAAACGCACTACCTTGGTGACATGACCCTGGTGACATGACCGTGGCTCTTCCTGGATTTCCTTCTCATTCTCCAACTCCTCTCATAAACAATTTTTCATCTCTTTTTCTATTTTTCCTTTTCTCTTTTTTCTGTTTTTGTTTAGGCCCTAATTATCATCTTTTTTGTTAATTGTTTCCAACCACAATAATGTCTCCTGGATAAGGCCATTAAAATTAACTATAACAGTAAAAATCCACATTGATCAATTTGTATATAAGAAACACTGAACTGACCTTGTCTTTTACATTACTTTTCTGAAAAGCTTGTTTCTAGATAAATCCAAATTCATTAATATTAATTGAGTCAGGACACATCAGCAGTGAATTTCTGCTGCTATTAATTCAAGTATAATTGACTATTTATAAGTCAATGTCAGGAAATTCCTTGGTAGACCACATATGTTCAGTTATATTATTTAACCTTACCTGTTGCTTACTTCTCAGTCCAGCCCAAACAAGACGCTGTTCGGACAAGTGAAGAACTCCATTAAGTGTTGTATGTGAAGTACTCCTTATGCCCTAATGGTCATACAACAGTATTATTCAAGAAAGTATGTCTAGAATTCCAATCTGGTGTTCCAAAGGTGTAAACTGTTCCTATTGAGGTGTGTGTCCCTGTGCTTTTTATGCAAGCAAATACAAGTGCAATAAGCTGAAATACAGTAGCATTTTCATTTCAATATGCATATGACAAGAAAATAAATTCTTAGTAAGGATAAAAGTCATTATATAATGTCTGATGCTTTACTAAATCGGAAACAACCAAGAACTGGCCTGCTCTTAATGTTTCTAAGGTCAGGACAAGAGTACAAATGGAAATCCTGGGCCAGAAGCCCTCACAACTCCATGTACTTCCCAAAAGGGCCAAACATAAATGTGTTGGAAAAAAACAAGCCACGAGTCAAAACTCTGAACTAACCTGTAGTGGAATATTCCCAGAATATTTCTACACTCATAAGTTTGAGTTTAGTTGAATCATCCAGAATTATGGAGCAGGATCTCACTATTTCTCCTTACTTGGTTTGCAGTCCACATTCACACACTTTTGAGTATAATAATATGGCTTTATTTTTCACCACAATGTTTTTGGTAGGTTATTACATACAAGCAGAGGACTTGAAAAATTATTTAAGAATTGCTAGTGGTGTGTATGTGTTCTGTACATGTATGAATATATCTTGGATGGAAAATTCTCAGTGATTAAAAATAAATTAAAAGTTATTTTAATTTTCAATATACAGTAGAATGTGAGTTCACTCTTAATTGAATGAGTCATACTACTGTATTGAATAACTAACGGATAGTCATGAAACTCTCTTGACTTTTCCAGTATAAAGTTTATGGTAGTGAGTTCATTTAAGCAGGTGTACTAAACATTACATATATTCCTTCATGGATATTATTATTCTTTGGGAATACATATTAAAATAATTCTGTGACAGTTTTAACATCCTTTATTGCACAATATATGCATTTTGGGGAAAAGAAACTGATTCTTCAAACTTAAGCAACCTGAAAAGAACTGGCAGAGAATTTTCACAACAAAGCTGCCTTTCAGAGGTCTAATGAAAAATAAAAACAATTATTTGTCTGTGCAGGAGTTACTTAGCTGATCCTCATCATTACAGGGCATTGGTAGACTTTAAATCTTCAACACATCAGCTTCTGATTTAGATCTTATATTTCCAAGTACTCCTGACTGTTTAACATTTTATCTCCATTTTTGGTTTTCGTATTTACTATGATCGCTGACAGTAAGAGTTCTTGGAGGAAAAGAACATAAGTGAACCCAAATACTGCCACAGTATCACTGCTCTCTTGCTTTTGTTGTTATATTTTTTTTTCTTTAAAAAGTCCTGTATGAGGTTTCATTAACTCAAGTAGCACACACTGCTGTTCACCTTCATGCAATCCATTTGCTAAAGCATGTGCTGTGTGTCCTTCCTCAGCAGATGGGGGTGCCCTTCTTCCCGGAGCCACCTGACTTACAGCAAAGTCAGAGTGGTGATTCTTCACATCCTTCCCAAGGATGGAAGTGACTGGGTAATTGTTTTTTTTTTTTTTTTTTTCCGGGACTGGGAACCAAACTCAAGACCTTGCTCTTGCCAGGCGGGTGCTGTGCCGCTGAACTAAATGCCCAGTCCCTGTGACTGGGTAATTGGAAGGTATCAGTGTGACGGAATGTCGTTATGCCCTCCGTGAAGAGAAGCCAGGCACAGGACGGAGACGGAGCTGCTAGTGTTCATGCACTGCCTCTGCTGAAGGAGAAAAGGTGTGCTGGTCCTCAGCATTTCTGTTAAATTCATGTTGCTCAGTTTGATCACTTAGACTTTCTTATGTGAGTGTGCGCCCAAGTATACCTTTCAATTTATCAAAATAAAGCCCTTTTTAGTACTTTATCTCAAATTACCATACTGAGGTTAAAATTTTGAGAGCTAAACTAATGAAAAATGCGTTGTAAAAATGTCTTTTTTAATTATAAAAGGAAATACTTTCCAACATATTGCTTGAAAGTTTTATGCATTGATTTTAATTCAAAATTATCTGGAAAGTATGGTAAAATTATTTAGATTACTTTTTTCATCTTTAGAAGCATAGGAGTGCCCAAAAACATACTGTAGTGGAACAAAGAAATCTAGAAAAAAAGATATAGTTTAACTCTTAGAATGTTTACAAAACATGTTTAAACAGTATGCTGGTGTCAGAAATACTTTTGCATGGTCTTAGACAGCAGGACAAAATAAAATAATGTAAATTCAGTTTGAAAATTATTCTCTGTGGTGGCATTGTGTTCCTTAAGACTATTTCCTCTTCAGTAAAAGAATAACCACATGATCTTGTTGAGGACCCAGGTGTTCTTTGTGTCTGATAAGCCATAGAGAGTAAAAATATAAGGTTTATTTCGTTGGGTTTCACTTGTTCTCCTGAGAATCTGCGTGAGAGTCTTAAGCCTGGCTGGTATAGCATTGTTTTTGGACAGTTGAATCACATGGATCTCATTACTCCTCACGCTGGAATGTTCTCTCTCTGGGAAACTTCACTGGGGAACGCTGTGGATTAGCACACCTGCGAGGCTGAAGGGCGGGATCAGCAAGGAGCTGCCCAAGGCAGGAGGACTCAGTCGCCTCACGATCCTGGCAGGCCTGGCCTTGTTCCCTTTCCCTTTTCCACTTTTTCCTCATAGTTTTGTTGAGTGTGTTTGCTAACTGTGCTTTTGCGGCCAATAAATAATACTTAATTTCATATTCCATGATATATATGTCACAGATATTTGGGAGAAAAAAGTTACCAATCCATGTTCTGCATGTTTTTGCATTAAGACCTTTTTTAAAATTATTTTTAAAAATAAATGATTGAATTATGAAAGATATATGAAATATTGAAGATACATTTTTATTTTTTAAGATTTGATAAAAAAATTAAGGCTGGAAACACTGTAATAAAATTTGGAAATTTTTTTCAAATATATTTCCAAAAATAGGAAGTCTGGAGATTTGTAACCCCACATCTTTCTCTTCTATGTGCAGTCCACTTGTTCTGTACGTATGGAGTGTGCATGTGTGTGTTTATGTGTAGATGTGTGTGCACATGCATGTGTGCATGTGTGTGTGTGTGTGTGTTTGCCACTCTGCCCTGCTTATTTATAGGTAACTTTCTCGTGTTTACCCTTACCCAAGACTATGCTGCTTTCTGTGTCAAAATTCATTTTTAGCAAACCAATGTCTACTGAAAACATATTTATTCTCTGAAGCGGTAGTCACGATTAAAAAGAATATCTAACATTTCCTGAGACTTATAATGTGTGAATCACAGTTCTTGGATGTTGGTAAAGGTTTACTAATTTTACTGTCATTACAGTCTGGTAAGTAACTACCATAGTTATACTCATTTTTACAAAGAGAGAGAGAGAGAGAGAGACAGAGGGAGAGATGAAGTTACCCTACCAAAAATCACCTTGCTAGGTTCTGACAAGGTTGTGATTTGAACACTAAACCCAAGACCCAAAATATTATTGAAAACTCTTACTACTACTTCATTATAAAAAATTGAAAATATTACTTATAACATCAAGTAATGTTTCTTGCAAACTTTATGGGAGTTTATATGTCATTCATATTTTAATTTATTATTTTATAATGCTAAGAAATATATTTTAAGCAATGTGGGAATAGAATCAGATGTCCTAAATAATTGACCACAGTCAGGTTGCTGGTAATTGGAAGCATCAAGCTGAGACCCTGAGACTTTGTTTGAAGGACTAAGCTCTTTGCGCTTTCGTACACTGCTGCTTTTAATTTGTTATATGTTTCGTAAGTACATGTTTAGAAACAAAGAAAACTTCAAATTTGTTCTAGTTGAGGTTTTACTCTGCTAAGAAAATAAAACAGTTTTATTAGCTTATGTGAAGTATATAAATGTGTAAAATAACAAAGAGAAAATAGTTGGGCTTATACTAAACTGAAGCTTATGTTTCCAACACAAGATGTTCAGTACTTAAAATATTATGGTAAAAGAAAAACTTTAATACTAATAATTGGTCTGGTCACTCAGCTGCCACATGAAAGTGGCATATAAAGCATATAACTAACAAGACTTAGAAAATCAAAATAGTTATTTTGGATTACGGTGAGCCTGTTACTATTGCTATTGGTAACTTTGCGTCAAATATGAGGTGAACCGTTCAGCTGCACTTTTCTTCCTGCTAGTAGCTCTTCTGACCACTGAGCTATTCCTGCTCCTAGAGGTGCTAATCTGCCTCCTGGAACTATAGGCCTGCTCCACTGCAAAACTATTTATAAGGCATTGTACTCATAA